GGTGCTTTATAAATACAGAAATCAGGATATACTGTACTAAAAGTTATATATGAGTTGTTGTTTGCTTTCAGAAAATGGTGGAAGGGAAAGAACTGCTAATGATGTCTGATGGAGCAAGCCTGATAATACAATCTTGGCACTTACTTTATTAATTTGATTTTCTTTTTTTTGGTAGTGCATAAAAATCAGATGGGGACATTGTTGTATTTGGTGATGCAGATTTATGGTCCCAAACAGTTTGCCTTCTAATTAAATATTAAGTTACTGTGAGTTAATTTAACAAACTATGAGAAAGAAGAAGAGAGAACAGAATAAGGATGTGAGTAATGAGCTGAAGTAGTCATACAGTCTACCTACATAAACAACATGGTGATTGGAATTCTTGGGAAGTTTTTCATCTTCATACTCTCTCAGCAGGTTATCTTTGTTGTGCTGCTAACAATCCCTTGCAACAGTGCTGCCGTATTATTTTCCTTTGAATATAGCAATGGGATAGCTATTGTCTTAATTATTTTCCTGAGAGAAACTATGTGGGGTTCCTTACACAACTCATGTTTCAACTGAGTGCTCACCAAGACAGGACGTTGCCATTTCTGGTCCTTACAATAGCTGCTTGAGAGTGGAAGGGAGAGTGGAAATAGGGTGGAAGAGGGGAGGGAAAAAGGGTATGCGACTCTCTTGCTGTAAACCTGAATACAGAATGCTGCGCATTACAGACAAATTAAAAAATTGTAGTGATTACTACTGTGTTATTTTTGAACTGTGATGTACTCTGACATCTTGACAGTAAAGCTCATGTTTTGAGTCAAGTTCTTAAATCTTGAATTTCGGTGTTAGGTTTTTTTTTTTTTACTAACTATGTTTTTCTTCTCTATCTTAGCAACATCTCTCAAATTCCACGCTAAAAGTAGCACTGTAGTGTTGCATATTATCTTTCAATGACTACCCATTAAATTTGATCAAAGCAAAGTGAGTGTTCTTATTGACCATGCAAACAGGGTCATTCTTTATTCCTTCTGTCTCATGCATTGATTGTGCTATCAGGACTTATGTTGGTGGTTATTAGAAACTGGATATATATACCAACCACTATAGTTAGATTTACCATGATGTTTAAGATAGTTGCCTTGGTTAGTGTGGGAAGTTCCACATATACCACATATATAATAAATGTAGTGGTATGCAAATGTTGATTTTAATGATAGCCGCTATAGTTAGCAATTCTTTTGCTGACATACGAATTAGAAAAGAATTTAGTTTGTTTGTATTGCCTCTGAGGTCAAAGAGATGAAAAGGCAGGTTGATCCTTTCTCTCCCTGTCCTTCCCCTCCATCCCCACCACCTTTTTCCTTGGGGAAAGTAATGGATTTAAAACAGGTATGCGGGGTTTTATTTTAGTTTTCTTCTTTTGTTCTGTTTTTGACATGAAAAATGCAGAATTATTCTTCTGGCTACCTGCTACCTTATTAGGGTGATTTGAGGGAATCCTGTACCCCCAAGAAAGTCTCTTTTTTCTTTGCCCTTTGGTGCTCTTTGCCCTTCTGAGTCCAGAAATGAGTACAAGACCAAATCCTGAATTTAGGTTTTTCTCAGTAAACCTCTATAATTTTAAAGTTTAAATTTGTTTTGGTAAGAAATAAGTTATTTAAGAGAGTAGTTATTGGAAAATTGCAATACGAAGCATTTGTTGTTATTTCAGAGTAACACGGGGGACTGGAATTGTGGAACACACAGGAATATAACCCGATCAAGCAAATGTGTAAGAAAAAAAAATTCAGTTTTTGCTGTGAATTTAGAAGAAAATAATTGTCTGCTTATTGGGTTCATTTTGTAAATTGAGATCAATGCGATTCTTCCAGCAACAGCATGAAATCAATTGTAAAATAACATATAATTCATGCCCTGTATTGTAAATTATAGTTTGTTTGACGTTAATCACTGAGTTTTCCATGCACTGGGGTGCATTTTCTTGTAACGCTTTTCTGGATAATGCTTGTGGATCCATTTTTAATGTATTTGAGAGCGATCTGTTTTTCATGTCCACAATTGCCTACATTTGATCTTATGCAAATCATGCAATCAAGCAAATGGAAAACAAGGCGTTGTTGCTAGAGGACCTTGACAAACAGTGGCTTTATAGTTCTAAGAACCTCCTCCCTCTTCGTTCAGACTCATGTTTCTACCCATAGTTGTTTGAATCCTTTGATCCATTATGAAGCATTTTGAACTTTAAATAGGAAAATATCTGCCAAATCAGATTGTGACAAATAATTGCATCAATTATGATGTAATATGTTTTTTATTGTTCAGTTTGCCAGTTTCTGGTTTTAACCTTTTAGAAATACTACCTACACTATATTTGCAGGCTCATCCAAACCTTGATGAAGTCTAAGGAGAGATTTTCATTGACTGTGAAGCTCATGCTTTGAGTGACATTCCTAAGTCTCTAGTTTCTGTACTTTCTTCTCCTGCTCCCACTAACATCGTTTTTCTTTTTAGTCTTTATCCCACTAAAGTCTTTCAGATTCCATTGAAACTTTCTGTTTGGCATTTATTAGTCAAAATACATTGGCATTATTAAATCAAAATGAGGAAGAAAAATTTCCTTTGATCCTGGTGACATGTTGCTTTTTCCATATTTTATCTTTCTATACTCTTTTTTTTTTAACCTCTCCTCTCCTTCCCTCCCCTGTCAGTATGCGTATTAGTTGATCCTAAAGGATCTTGCTGCTCATATGTCCTGTGTTTCCATTCCATGTTATTCATGTTCTTTTAAACTTTGCACATTTCCCTGTCTTGTCTGTTTGCTTTTTCCATTCCAGGCACTGAGACACACATAGTAACTTTTAGTCACTTGTTTTTTTTCAGGGAGGGAAATAAAACATTTTCCTATCTTCCATTCTATTCATCCTTGACAAAGTTCCTCACTCTTCAAATTTAACTAGGTATTGCCAGAAACTCTTATGCATGCAAGTAGTCTCATCAGCTACAGTGTGCATCAAAGCAGGGTTTCACTACAAGCTACCTTTGTAAAAAAAGCAATTCCCTGATGAGGAGTTTTCCGTAAAGGAGAGAAAAATACCTCTCCCATCCCAAATCTGTGTACAAGAAAACAGTGTTCCACCATAAACAAACCAAAAAGGAGAAAGCCACTTTTTCTTTTTTTCTTATTCCTTCCCTTGTGTTATATTCACTCTGCTAAGTAAAGCTCCACAATACAGTTTCAACTTAGAGAGAAGAATGTGTGTTCAACTGTTTATAAGGATATGAATTAAATAGGTGCCATGGATTGCTTTCAGCTGTTCATTTTAGGGTTGCTAAAAGTAAAATCCTTCTGGTCATTTGTTTGCCCACCCAGAACATGGAGTATCTGATTCTTGTCTCACAGAATTCCATCTCCATCTGTACTTTTCATGACTTCTCTGATGGCAGCTGCAAGGAACAAGGGATCCAGGAAGGTGTACGTTAATGGGAGCAATACAGTCGATGCAGTATGTGGAGTTTACTTTCTCTGCTTGCTGAGCCAGCTTGAGCACCTGCTCTGGAGCGTGCTTTCCCCCTCTCACCCACATAAGCACTGCTTAACCCTGGTAGAATCAGCCCCATTATGTTGATTAAACATGTCACTGTGTTACAGGCATTCACTTGATGGTGTGGTGTTTTTTTTTTTTTTTTAGTTACGGCATTTTTTTTTTAACTCACACTTTGCCGTGTACTCCATAGAACAATACCACTGAGTGATACTGTGTTTTCAATAAAAATGTACAAGTTCATTCTGTCCTCACACAGAGTGGAGTAAATCAGAAGGAATTCCATTGCAGCAGGGACTGAAGACATTATATGAGGGGAAAACTAATGAGAAAGAATTGGGTCTACGGCATTTCTGCTTTAGTGAGATCTTTGTCATCCAGTTGCAATTTTTGAATGTGTGCTCACAAATATTGTTGTAGAAAATGATATTTTGATACTATTTGGCCCGGAAAACACCAGCATTTGTTATGTCTTGCAAAAACCCAGAACTTTTCTGGCGTACTAAAAATGTGTATCTATAACATATGCATTTTACTTGTATACCTTGTACTGTTGCCAAAACCTCAATTGTAAATTCTTTCTTAAAGGATTTGCTCATTAAAATCTGTGATTTGTATTTTAATAAAAAATGAAAAAGATTAGAAAATTATGTCTGCATTACTTTCCTACTATATTTTTTCTGACAAACATTCCTTTATTAGTATAAGGAAGAATATATGAAGCTGAAGATGTTTTAGAATATTTATTCAGCAAAGATGCTACATTTTATTCACCATTTTCTGCAGTAATTGAAACTCAAGATAGCTTCATAATAAATAACCATTTAACTGTTGTCTTGCTATAGCATTAGACAGGTTGTCTTTACTGAAATACGTTTTACAAACGTTTGGCGTTCATGCAGCTGAAGACAAACAGGCAAAGAGAGAACAGACCAGTATGAGTGGTGGCAACAATGAGCTTCCTTTGTGTTCTTGCTTATAGTGAAATCTGCATGGAGTGAATCATTGTATGTATTGATGCTTGACATTCATGTATCATACAGCACATTTTAAAAAAAAATATAATCTGGCTGTGTTAATGAATCTGTACTTGTTTTTCCATTAATTTGATTTGATTTAATCATCTTAAAGGTGATCATTTGCCACTGTAGCAAATTGATATAGTATGTAGCACCTAAGAGGCTAACATCTTTGTTTTGTTTGGGTGGTGTACATTCTAGTGTAAATATACTGTACCATGGGGTCATCTCCACCAAAGCGTGCCCCATAGATCTATTAGTAGTCAAAATTTGCAGTTATTTACTGTTAAACAACCAGCACCTATTCACTCCTCTGGGACAAATCTGAAACATTTATGAGATACAGGTCTCTCTTCCTCCTGATTTTCTGAATTTACTACCCTCTGAAAGTTACAGAAAAACAAGGTAAAATTAATATAAAAAGTAAACTCATATTCCTTTTTTGCCCTAGATTTAACGGTTTTTACGCCACACGAGTTTCTGCTCACTGCATGCACGCTTGCTGGCTGTACAAACAGTTCCCAGGTCACCTTGTTTACAGCGCAGCTGCCACCATCTCACGTAGATGCCCCGGTCCTGATGGTTTTGGATTCTAGAACTATATATGTACAGTAAGTAAGGATTTCTTCTTTCCTGACAACACAATAGTGCATCAGTTTATTCAAGAATTCCAGTGAGTTCAATCAGGGAA